CATTATGTTCGTCGTCCCCGCACGAAGATAACCTGAAAGCATGGACGGAGCAGGCGGGTGCTATCAAAATCATCATGAATTGCCCCGATGAAAATGACGTGAAGGCGATGTGTGCGTGGGAGACACGCAATACGACTGAAGAGGAGCAGGTGGAGTATTGGAGAAGGATGCACATGCACATGGATGACGTCGGACCGATTCCACGATGCATCTTCGATGATAATAAATATAAAAACCGCGTGGAGGAAATCAAGGACATCCTGGCAGGTATCGACGCTTCAAATGCTGTACATTATGGGATGGTTGGAGGCATGGGAATGTGGCCCTCGAATGACGCACCTCACAAACTTGTGAAAGTTCTCAGATTAATAACACAAGGCGATGTTGAGGCGTTTGTTAACCTGCCGGTCTGTTTTTCCATTGGAAGCAAATTAATTGGAAGGTTGCTCGAGGTGGATGAGGAGAATGACATTATTTTTCGACTATTGAAGTACCGGAGAGTGTTATTGCCGGAACTTTTGGAGCGGTGCACTCTGCTCGCATTTCTGAGTAGAGGCTTTGTGTAAAATATAATGCCGGGCCTCAAGGAGTTGCCTCCACCAGGAAGTCGTCGGCGACAGAGATGTGTGCTGCAATCGAACCCCGAAAAGCATCCAAGCAGACCCGTTGGATTAATGGCGCTGGGGCACACTCCTCCGATGTTTTGATGTACAATACAAGGTGCTATACCTACCGGAGAGCAGTGATTTTCCGTTTGTGGACGCCTTTTTATTCGTTGACGCACCGCGGAGGACGATGGTTGGGGTGCAGGTGACGACGGGGGCTGAGCATGGCACCCAAGCCAGCACGGTGGTGCAGTTCAACAATTTTCTACGGAATTATTTTAATGACTGGGAAACTTTTGCGGAAGGCTTGTCGTGGGAGATTATTTACGTGCATCATGAGGACAGTACGGCAATAAACGCGTGGCAGAAATGTGTTGTTGTCGCGCACGCAAATGCAACGGGCAGCAATGAGCGTGAGGACCCTCAGGCCATTGCGGCATTTTGGAATCAGCGGGTGCGTCAGTGCCAGCTAGCGGTATCTGCTGAGAATTTCAGAAGTGAACGACAAACCCAACGTGGGCGGCAACCAGAGGGACAAGGAAAAGGAGGAGGGGAATAAACAGCTTGAGTTTACTGGTGAAATATTTTAGGGAGTATGATATATTGCCGAGTGTGTTTGTGTATGGGTAGGAGGCGTAATTAGGGACTCGCTCTGCCGTGCGCCAAATGATTATTGTGGCCAGCGCTACCACAGCAGCACCTTTTTTTTGTTTGTGTTTGTGAGTAAAATTGCGTGGGGAATGATGGCGAATTGTGGGTATACGCCGGCAGTATTACATTGGTGATGTCTCCTCGCTGTTCCCAGTTTGTTTCTGCAGAGAGTTTGGGCGAGAGGGTAAGTTTTGCATGCTGAGTGGGTTCACAGGCAGCAAAGCAAATGCGGCGGCAACCACAGCCCAGAGGTCAGGGGCAAACCGAATTATTGTGATTGCTTTTGCGTCTTGGCGTGGTGTTTTTCCCTTTTGTTTTTTGGGTGCCATTGTTTTTGGTTCGGCTGTGCTCCAATTGGTGGTGGTGCTGCATGCACCTCTGAGAGCCTCGAGCAAACACCGTTGGCGCCTCTCTTTTGTTGGGTTGCCGTCCTGGGCGCATGCGCCTGTTCCGTCTTGTTCAGGTTGCATGCACTGACCGGGCAGTCTGAGGCCACGGCTTCGCTGGCGTAGCCCTCGCTTGCAAGCGTAACGAAGCAGCAGGAAAAGAGGCTGCCGCTATTATTCCGCAGGGTTTATTTTTAATGGTTTTTATTTTTTAAAATATTGCGTCCCACTCCTGCTGCAGTGTGCTGAGGGAAGTGGGGCGGCGTTGGGGAGTTTGTGGGGGTCGTGATGGGAGGTCCCGCCGGCATGCACACTGC